TTGGAAAAGGCATTATGCAGCGCCTGCTCAGGGTCGCGGAATTCCGTCCTGCCAGGCGTATTAGTCCTACTCGTTTTAGGAGGATTTATCGTGCCAACTGCCTTTAAGATAATCGACCCCCTCACCTCTGTGTATCGTGGTCCCTGCAATGGATCCGCAGCTGCAGTAGCGTGCCAGCTCCTCCGCTTAAAAGTGTTGGGGAAAGTTGCTGGAGCGTCTCCATACTCCAAGACACTGCTACCCCACGCCCAACTAAAGCCGAACGCGCTACTTCTCTTCGGTCTCCTTCGGCGTTGTGATAAATTCCTGAAAAAAAACGACCTCCCCCATAATTCCATCCTCCGATACGACCCCCCCGCTCCCTCCCCATCCTGCCTACCAATTTCCTAGATTTTCCCAACTTCCTACCACTTTTTTCCAAAATTCTAGCTCCCCAAGATTATTTTGCTGTCGAGCGGGGCGGGGGCGCGGGAGGGAGGAAGGCCGTCAGGAACTAAGTACTATTTTCTCGGAAATAGTAGTTGTATAGACCTTTCGCAGTGCCGGCAACTCGGGGGGCAGTTAGCATCAGTGAAACGGGAAAAATCGCAAAAAGCCTCTCTAAGACAAGTACGACCCTCTTCTCCCTGCTCCCAACAAGCAAATACGACCCCTCCTCCCTTCATAGCGTCAGTGAAACAAGAGAATCAACTATCAAAAAAATATTTTTTTTCTCAGACCAACTTCACCCCTTCCTCCTTCGCGGTCAAAACCCCCCACCCCACCCCGCTGTGATTATCACAACGGTCACAACGATGGCGTGCCCTTCTCTGAATTGGGATAGTTCTCTGCCGCAGAAAACGTGATTCGCCACTGTATTTTGTTATCCACGCAAGAGCTGCAAGCAGTGTGCAGACGTCACCCGGTTATCGCTACCCTCCAGCCCCGTTCCCGCTGCACTTTTGAGCGGAGAAAGTGTTACGCTACTGCAGCTGCGGACCCACTCACCTGGCAAGGACCGTCTTTGCAGGTGAGTATAACAGTTTCGGACTTTGCGTATCAACTTAATTCTAGAGCGCAGATGAAACCAGAATGTACCCTTGAAGCATCTCACCTTCTCTGCCCATCCGGTATGCCATTGTGTTTTCGTGTGGTTGAGCGCTTCGTTTTTACCGAACCACTCAACTCTCATAAAAGCCGAACCGGGTTCGCTCATCTCGGGCATCAGAACGATTCGACACTGAAGGCCCTGTAACGGACATTGCTCGAGTTCGCCCTTTCAGGAAGAAAAACAAATTGAAAATGAAAACTCATTGACCGTGCTAAAAAATTCGAACAGTTGTGGAACATTGAAGAGGGGGAGGGCTGAAAGAGGTAGCTCGCTTCTGTTTTGCACCCTCAGACGTTCAGACTGTTTTCGTGGATTGGACAAAAACAGTCTTTTCATTCCATGGACAGAGCGGTCAAAAACCAGTGCAGAAAGTAAGGCTGATTTGAAGCGCTCTCCAAATAAGACCCCACTCTCCATAGGCTATTCTCTTCGCAGTGTTACTGATGTTGAAACTTGTAAGAATATGTGAATCTCCTCCCACCCCCCTACCCCCCACTCCCCTCCCCTCCCCCAGGCTGCATATGTAATACAGTAGAATCTCTAGGGTACAGCTAATGTTGACAGCCTCCCCCACCCAGAGGGGCCCTACTAGTTATCCAACGCAAGTAAGGTAAGTGGTAGTTACTTGTAATTAAATCAAGTGAAAGCCCGGCTAACATAGCCAGAATTCGATCCCATCTTCCAGGAGGGCGAGTGATCAGCGACCCAAGCCAGTCATAATCCCGAACGCATTCTGCTTGGGAGGGGCATTTTCACGTTCCCTAGTTCCTGTTAAATTGACATGTCACAGCAGATGAGACTTTTTAGGCGCGTAACACAAAGTCATGTCATAGCTTTACAGGCATATTACAGGTCGCCCCCACCACAGAAAGAATTGGAAAAGATCGAAGGGAACCAACAAAATGCCTCTCCAAACCGAACTGCACCCACTTTTCCAGTTTTCAAAGAAATTACCATGAGATGTACTGCTAAGGAGCTTTCTCAGCCTTCTCCTGTGGAATGGGCAAAAAAGAGAGCTGGAAAAAATGCTCCTCCTCCTCTTCCGCCCCTCCTATGATCTCTTTCTATTTTTTAGCCGGCGACGAACCTTCGGCAGTATCCTTTCGAAAGCGATTTGAAGGCGGCTAGCGATATCGGTAGCCGCGTTTGATGAGAGAAATCCTGCTCGTTCAAGGGCATCGTGAGGAATTTCACTACGAAGCATTTCAACATCAGTCAATGAGTAGCCAGCTGAGAGGTAAATCCCTGAAAATAGAGAAGAAATGAAAGTGTACTCAAACGAATCCCAACCTCTAATACAACAAATAAAATAATGGAAAATAGCAAGCAGAAGGGATAAAGTCTCGCGCTGACGCAGTGGGCGGAAGCTCTACATCACGGTGCGCTGCGCCCCCGCTCGATTTACGTCTAGGGCTGCCACCTAGAGGAGAAACGCAAATGCTTATGGGTTCCCGCCCATCCGCTCGTCGCGGAATTGCCCTTATAAAATCTGGCGAGTTCTGAGATATATGAAGAGATAATAGGCAGATGAAAACGAGAACTTTTCGATCACTGAACAGAAGTAGCAAGAAAATCAAATGGATACCCAACTTACCTGGATAAACTTCCGGCATCTCTTCTGGAAGATCACAGATAAACGTGCCCGATTCACAAAAACATGCTCCACGATCGCGAAGAAATAAACGCTCTCCGAAGTCTATAAAAATTGTAGAATAAAATAAAATATAATCAATCATAAAATAAACAAATAAAAATAAAATAAAATATTCCTCGGTAAAAGAGGAATATGTGCTGAATTGAACGGCTTCTTACTATCCAGCCATATTATTTCCCACCGCTGAACACATTCAAATATTCATGAATCATAGCAAA